ATGATGTGAGTTGCCACCTGCGCACTGTGGCGCATGACGCGGTGGGCTTGATGTAGGTAGGATTTAAACCCTCGTTCTGGGTTGGTTCGAAAACATGTATAACCGTTAACGTACTTTGATGTCTCTGCCAGTGCGAGTGTTCACATCCGCGAAATTCCATTCAATGGTGGAGAGGCAAATATTCGGGAGATAGCATGCTCCAACCTTGGAGGCGCCCGACGCGTATCGAGTTTGAATGACCCAGATGGAACGACAGCGGCGGTGGGGTTCCTCGAGTCGGAGACGTGCATAGGACGTGCGTAGTGCCCGAATCCGTGCGACGGGGGACGTGTTTGAACGGGCATTGGGTCTGGCGAGCAAAGTGGAGTTGTGGAGCAAACTGACGTCATCACTTGCTCTATATAGCCGGCGGTTGGTGACGGCGTGACTCCACCTCCCTTCCTTTCGCCCCGCCACCACCAACGTCCCAACCACCTCTCCCCATCCTCTTGCTTACAGCTGATTTGGAAAAGATAGAGGGGTTTCGTAAATCGGTGATGCTCATTTTTTGCTTACCTTTGTTGACGGAAAAGCGCCCCACATTGACCCCACAACGACGTCATCATTCGCCGCTGGTCTTTATATCCAGTCAATTCACGGTCTGCATAATAATAAAAACCACCCAGGTATTGTACCCATAGTGTCAAGTAAAGGAGCATTTTGAACAACCATTTTGGCTGAGGTCGGAGCAAGTTCTGAGCGTCGGTGTCAACAGCCGAAGATCAATTGGTCAACAAAGGTAAGCAGGAAACGAACATCAACGATTTACGAAACCCTCTATCTTTTCCAAATCAGCTGTACCGCAGAACGCGTTCACAACGGCGAACGATCTTACATTCAACCTACGATTCTGCAGACGACGCCAAGTTGAATAGTTGTAGTGGGTTCCCCAGCGGTGCGTTGTGCGCAACTCTCAGACGGCTTCTCCTGCACCCACTGACTCATCTCTTATCCATATTTCCTTCAAATTTCAAACTCCGCCTCCATCAAGCTCAGATATTACCTGGTGCGTCGAGTTATATCTAAGTCTACTACGACTACTAATTTGTAGTCATCTACTGCAGCGTCTGCGCCGGATCATCCTTAGAAGGTAAGTTACTTATGTGTGTTACATCTCAACGCTGCGGCAACTAATTCCTCTTTCTCTCAAGTCTGTCTTACCGCATCGTGGGCGCAAGCCGTGTGCGGGGTGCTGCGCGCGGGTCTTTCGTCTACTATACTATGTATATTTATCTACATCGTGCAATATATTCTTTCATTCTTATGTGCTTATGACTGGGGATACGAAGGGTATGCAACGTTGCCTGCAGCGCCGGCTAAGTATAGCAGTGCGTGCTCCAAACACCTTGAGACGCCTTGAGATCAGTTACAAGACCATTTGACCCAAATGGCCTTGAGACAGCTTGAGAGCCACAGCGTGGCTTGAGACTGGTCTTAAGAACCTAACATGTGTGTTACAAGCCACCTAAAACCTAATGACCTTGCAACGGCACCCAACATATCTGGAGCCGTTACGAGCAATTTAATTTTTTTCCGACAGAGCTTCGTCGCTGCGATCAAGGCGTTGTATTGGTTCACAGCAATCTCGAGCCAACCAAGTCTCCACCCCACTCCACCTCTGTGTCCGTCCGTATTCACCCGCATGGGACAAACACAAAAACAATCAGCGTTGCGTTGCATTGCGTTGCGGCTTCTGGGACCGGATGTCCGTACCGTTGGTGTGGGAAGTCACGGTCCGAGAAGTGGAAGTGGAAGTGGAACTTGAGAGAGCAAGGTCGGTGCGTGAGCGTGAATATTGCATGCCGCCACCTTCTATGGGAAATCGATAGTATTGGTAACAATGAAAGTGAGTGAGTGAGTGATTTTCGCGACTCGGGGCAATAATTGCAACCATGCGCATACGCATGCATACCCAAAGGGCACGCGGCGTACTCAAGTTTCGACTTTTTAAGCCAGTACACCGGTACCGTGCAGCATGCTCATTTATCTTGATTCCAGATCTAGACTCCCTATCTCTTCTTAAGAACCTGGGAAGCCCCAGTGTTTTGCAGTAATGCCCACTATCTTTAGTAGGGGGTGTTGTGTGGCCCTATCAGCGATTCTCTTGTTGTGTCGTCCTAATTGAGCCGTGAGATGATCTTAATGATCTTAATCCTCCAAAACCGTTGTCTCGGTCCTGAATTCTACCTCTTTCAGCCTTTTTGATCTTAAAGTCTTCAAAACCGTTCTTTCGGTCAGCTGTTTGGTTCTTCTGGATTGTTCCCTGCTGTTCCTACTGTTCCTCGAAGGTTCTACTTTCACCCTGGTTCCGCAAGTTCCGAGATCTGCGTTCGTCCTCGCTACCATCTTTTCCGTCCTCCCTCCCTCCCTCTCTCTCTCTCTCCTTCTTTCTTTCTGCTCGCCATTGTTTTTCGTGTTAACGGTGTCGGCGACCCTGATGTTGTACTTGGTGTCGACTGGAGTGTGTATATGCACATTGCACGAACTGCGTATTCCTCTGCCCATAAATTCTTGCTGGCATGACGTAGAACTCCGAGTACTCCTACCAGCATCCTAGTGCCAAGTTGTTTGATGATATTGAGTACATGAAATCGCCTCTGTGGCCGCGCCGTGTGTTCCCCTTTGTCCCGAGCTGTCCCTAATGTTCCGCGTCGGTTCTAGATGAGCGCGCGACAGCGCGCACACCACCGGCTCGGCCGAGCCGACCGAAGGTCGGGCGAGCGCCGAGCCGTCCGCATTTTAAATTTCAATGAAACCTCGCCGCTCAACAATATACTGCCCATGATGTTGATATCCAGTCGACTCGGCTGGGACAGGGAAAGATTCCCAAATTTTTCCAAATTTGTGCATGAATTGCTTGATACCACACCGTGACCTTCGTGGTGGACAACACACCCTACGTAGGGAATACCGGAGGCCATAATGTAGTTCGATCCTAGTGATGTTCTGGCTTTGGCCTCAGGCCAAAAAGCCATGGTTTTTTGGCTCGGCTTTGGCTTTTGCTGGCTTTGGCCCGAGTTGGCTTTGGCTTGGCCTGGGATTCATCGAGGCCAAAGCCAAAGCCAAACTGATTTCCCTGCCAAAAGCCATGGCCCAAGCCAGGCCAAAGCTGACAATTTGGCCCTGGCCTGGCTTGAGATTTTCCGAGGCCAAGGCCAAGCCAAAAAGCCAAAGCCAAAGCCAGAACATCACTATTCGAGCCCCACAACACCAGATAGCCAATTTTGTTGGCTGGTCAATGCATGGCCAAGAACATTGACACTGATCCGGCCTTTTGCGACTGATAATCTCCCCACAGAAGGCGGCCTGGACTTGTATTGCCAGGCGGAGCAGCGGCCCAAGGACTAGTAAAATAAGACACCCATCGTCAGCTCAAAGTCCCAAGTTTACGGGAGATCGCAGATAGTGGGCTCTGCCGCGGCAGCGGGCCCTACTATTGCTTATCTCCCTCTCTAACTTCGAAGCGAAGGTCCCTTTCCCTCTGATTCGACGTGGTCAACCGCCGCCGGTACCGATGCTCCGACTTTGACTGGAGAATCGCTCACAATTTCTACGCAAGTTCTCCCATCCTAAATTTCGTCAACTTCTTTGTCCCCTACGGGGTCCGCGCACACATCAGCAAAAGCACAATTTACGCGCCATCTTTTGATCTTGTGATGTCGCGTAGCTCGCATCCGCGAGAGTACGCGAGCTTTTGATGGATTTCGAAATTTTAGGTGGGCTTTCTACATACCGCACCCTCACATTCAGCTAAGTTATGACTGCCGCTGTGTTGCTTGGAGTCCATTCAACATTTTCCGCGGGGGTCCAATCAGGGTATGACGTTATTACAAATCATCGGACTTTGAATTCTTGACGCGCCTCGCAACTTATGGAAAGCGCGACATATCGTTCCGGAGTATTCTAGAGGCCTTTCACATACCATTAGAGCATTTCTGCCTCCTCAAATATTTTTTAAAACACGTGGGAGGAGCATACAGTGGTCCCTGGGAAATAGGGTGTGATTGGTCAGCAACGAAACCACGGTTCACCCACGTCGACATGCTGATCATCTAAACTCGAGAAAAAAATCTGGAGGGCGTACAATAGCTAGGCAACCATTCCTGGGTGGTCTTTGAATGAAACTAATTTGAATGAAACTAACGAGTTTGAGTCCACGCTGCTAAAATTCTCCTAAATTTCGAACTCCGAAGATTGGTAATAAGCGGATACCCTGATCCGACCCCCGCGCTTACAAACAGACTTCAACAGAGCGAGGAACGAGCTTGTGTGTTGAAGCGTCTGTCTAGGAGAGACTAGTGGCTCGCGTAGACTCGCGTAAGGGGGTCGCGTGTGATTTTGGACATAGCTCTTGATCGTGCCCACGCGCAATCTTTGACGTCTTGTGGGCTCGCGTACGCACACGTACAAGTGCGTACGCGAGCTCACGCGTAGATTGTTAAAATCCCGATGCATTCCGCCACAGGTCCCACTTGATCCCAATACACAGCGTAAACCACGCACCTCAGTCCACCCGAACATCGCCGCTCCCTGAACTCAATGCCGACCGATCAACCGATTCGGTGCGCGACGAAATTTGAATTACCTTCTGTGCATCTTTCCCCCCGTCCACCAACTAATTAGTCTTTGAATCTACAGCCGAACAAACTCAATCCAGTTCGTTCAGTCCAATATATATTGTATATGTAGTCAAAGTCTGCACACACCCGCTTCACACACTGGCAATTCCCGCCGCCGCGAAATCACGTTCGAAATTTGTATGTACTCCTTAAGCTTACCGGAAATTCGAACCCACCCGAATTGAACGAGTCCGAGAATTTACTGTAAAAGTTGAACTCCAACTACATTCAAGTTTCTTCCGCTTCAAATCTCCATTTGCCAATTTCAGTCTGACTCGGAGTCCTTTGGCCCGATGTTAATTAAAACCAGTATACCAGCCAGTGGGTGCAGCAGGGCATCATGGCCTGGTGGTGTAGTGGTTACACGTCCCATCCAATTTGGACAAATCGCTGATTCATGGGAAGTCCCTTGTTCGAATCAAGGTCAGGCCATGACAGTGAAAGTCTTGAGATTTTTTTATTCTTCTTTTTCTTCCCTCCTCTCTCATAAAGCATTGCTCCGTTGGTTGCGGAGCTACCATTAAGCGGCTGCCAGAACCTTGGATTTTGCGAGAAATTTTCTTCCGGACTTATTCGGCATTGGTTGAAATTTGTGATTAACTTGGAACTCTGCCATAGATTGGTACATCAACCATTGAATACCAAGCATATCATGGTCTGATGGTGTAGTGGTTACGCATCCTGTTCATGTGGACAAAACTAATAGCTGCTTGTAGGAAGTCCCTTGTTCGAATCAAGGTCAGGCCGTACTTTTTCTGCTTTATGCCTTTTATTTCCTTTTCCTTCTTCTTTTGCTTCCTCCTTCAGGTTCTCATCCCCCTCTCTGCCCTTCGCACAAAGTACACAAAGCTGAGCCCGCAAAAAATTAAAATCCTGTGAGAAACAACTCAACTCCGCCCGCTCCGAAATTTGAAACTGCTTGGACTCACCCACCCCAGCTATAGATTTGGCTCACCTCTCCCCCCCAACACTTGAATCAAAGTACCTCATTGTATTATCCTGAACAATGTCCCCTGCAGAAGGTATGTGGTGATTCATTTTGGCCTCAAACATCGCGCGGGTTCAGCGCCCGAGATCAAAGTTCAACTCAAGATCATCCACCAGACTTCAGCTCATTATGGGTTGTGGGAGGCTAAAATCCAGGCCTGGTGGTGTAGTGGTTACATGTCCTGTTCTATTACAAAATGTCTATGAACAATTTGATAGGAAGTCCCTTGTTCGAATCAAGGTCAGGCCATGACTTTTCTATTTCGTGATTATTATTATTTTCCCCCCGGATTTCAGCGTCGCACTTGCTTTATCTTCTTCTTCTACCTCTCATCCGGCGCACGATTCAAAGCAACACATTACTTGTCGCCAACTCAGGAACCGTGGTGAACACCGCCGGTTGATGGTTGAATTCCGCCGCTGGTTTCAATATTCCCACGGTTTAATCACTTTTGAATTAAATTGAACCGTCACTGTGTCTTCATTAGGTCAGTGTAGGTCTGTATAGGCCTGCCTGCTTAAGTTTGTGTAGATCTGCATAACTAGAGTAGGTATAGCATAGCTGAGGTGAATATAAGTCATTATAAGTAGGTGCCTACATTGATGCCAGCGTAGCCTCACCTAACTTGGAATGAACTAGTTTTTAAACCAAAATTGAAAACTGAGTGCAAACTAGTCACATACGGTGAGTGTAGGCACTTGGACTGACCTGTTGTAGCCTCCTATGCTGACCCATACTGAGCTACGTCCGGCTGAACTGAGTCAGCTAGGAAGGCCCGGAGTGCAGTAAATATAAATACATTAACAGCCCGAAATCCAGAACGATAACGACAAAACCCGCCGTTCGAGTCCGCACAAAGAGCAAGAAAGACACACTTGAGCCCTTGGTGTCATTTGTGTCAGACTTCTGGCCATTGAAGAGCAATGCGAGGTGGTGTTATCCTCCCTGTTTTCAGGTGTTGATGGGCCATTTTACGGGCCTCGAGATAGTGTGATGCACCTATGAATTATACTGCCCAGTGCCAAGTTCACTGTCAGACTTTCCTGAGCATGTGCTCGGCGTCACCGGCCTTCTCTTATTTTGGGCATGGGGGTTAGGAGTGGGGAGATATTTCGGAGGCTGCCTCAAGCATTGACACCAACAGAAGCAAGGACGATAGGTCCCGAGATACCATCTCAACAGCCGGGGGACATATTAGCATCCGGGATTCATCAATCAACGGTAAAAATCGATTCACCACATCTGCTTCTTTTCTTTTCATCTTGTAAAATTGTGTCTGAAGCCTTTTAAACTGCGCTCATGACAACACATCTTGCCACGGCACCGCTGATCCCGCAGGTAAAAGATGTTCCACCGCCGGGTGCTGAGTATGCCGACGGCTCCAAAATGTGCTTTCAAGCAATTTATCATTGCAACTCAATAGCTTTATTTTAGGTCTCAACAGCATCGAAATTTATATCACCCTTGCAGCCGAACACCTCGCAACACTTGTCACTTCCTTCCTTCCTTCCCAATTTCTTCCTCTCTCCTTCCGCGGTCATACACTTCCTTCCTTCCTTCCTTCCTTCTTCTTGTGAGGTATAAAGCTCTGATGATTCCAAAAATGCCATGACCCTTTGCCAACATGCCCCGTTCCCTAGCCACAACTGAAGCTCGTTTGAGGACACTCTCGGCCTGTATCACTATCACACTGAACACACTTGATGTCCTTCTGGACACTCTTAATATCTCTGGCCCAAGACATCTCTCAGATATCACCCGCTCTCTTTTGGAAGTGGTGCAGGTGCATATTTCACTGAAATGGTAGAGGAAAACTCTGAATTGGTACTCTAGACTGTCAAACAAGATAAAAATGATGCTGAGTTGATGGAGCACATTCATCAGTTGCTCAGTGCCATTCTCAATGTATACATTAAATCGGACACTGGAGTGGAATTATCACCAAGTATCTTGAATCAGATTGCAAAATTCACAGAGTGCTTCTACATCTTTGTACCTATCTGCATTGCTGACTTGGCTTATTCAAGGACCCTCCACAAGATCCACACCTTTGTTGAGGCTCGAAGCGGCAGTAGAGTCAAGATTTTTTTTCGGCAGGGAGAACTGAGTACTCTACTCAGGGGTTGCAAGAAAGAATTGGAACAGGAACTCAATTTCTTCCAGGTAAGTACCTCAATTATGAACAAATGTCAACTGACCATAGTGCAAAGATCAAGAGAACTACAGATATCTTGATCAGCGCTAGAGAGATGCAAGATCAAGTGGAGCTCAGACACCAGGAAGTACTCAACATGATTGAAACAATGTCTACCTCAGATTCAGCTTCCTCCGTATGTGAGCAGACATATTTTCGGAGAATGAGGAATAACAATCCTCCAGATTAGTGCAATTTATTCCAGCTCATCTCTAAGGTGGTCCCAAATACCCTTGTGCATTTGTATGTGCTCATGAATATCTTAGCTCCAACTCAATTTCAATGCTACCAGCAGAGCCCAGAATATTCCACGGTCGGGACTCAGAGCTTGCAGCCATCCTCAAGCTTTTCCATGATGGCACCCCAAGAATCACCATTTTAGGTGCAGGTGGAATGGGGAAGACCAGTTTAGCAAGAATTGCCTTGCATCACGAAGAGATTACCATCAAATATCAGGACAACCGATTTTTTATTGCATGTGATATAGTGTCAACCAAAGTAGAACTTGCAGGTCTTATTGGTGCCCATCTTGGGATGAAACCGGGGAAAGACCTAACCCAGGCAGTCCTGTGGTACTTTTCTGATGCTCCACCCAGCCTGTTGATTCTCGACAATCTTGAGACGCTGTGGGAGCCAGCAGAATCCCGCAGAGACATCGAGGAGTTTCTCTCTCTTCTTACAGGCATAACAACTCTAGCCCTCTTGGTTTGTATTTTTTCTTCTCCATAAAGAAACTCACTCATGACAAAGCAGGTTACAATGCGAGGAGCAGAGCGGCCAGGAAAAGTTCGATGGACACAGCCATTTCTGTTGCCTCTGCAGCCTTTAGCGCAAGAGGCTGCCCGACAGATGTTCCTTGATATTGCAGATGACAAGCAATCAATGGAAGAAATAGACAAGGTCCTTCATCTCACAGACAACATGCCACTCTCAATCAGCCTTCTGGCCCATCTGGTGGACATAGAAGGCTGCACCAAGATACTGTCTCGTTGGGAGACAGAGAAAACCTCTCTTATTTCGGATGGCTATGACAAAAGATCCAACCTGGAGCTATCTATTTCACTCTCACTTTCAAGCCCTAGAATGACATCTATGCCGCATTCTCAGGACCTGTTGGCACTATTGTCTATACTCCCAGATGGACTATCAGATGTAGAACTCATGCAAAGTAAATTTCCAGTCAAGGATATCCTTGGTTGTAAAGTTGCATTGCTTCGTACTGCTTTGGCATACACAGATGACCAAAAACACCTTAGGGTGCTGGTACCTGTCCGGGAATACATGGGAAGGCTGTTCCCTCCAACCAAGCAGATGATAACACCACTCCTCACACACTTTCATGAGCTCCTAGAATTATACAGGACAGCCTTTGGCAAAGAATCTGGAGGTTCGACCATTAATAGGATAACCTCCAATTATAAGAACATCCAGAATGTCCTCCAATATGGCCTACAGTCAGAGCATCCTGAGTTGGTCAACAACATATATTGCACCTGTGACTTCAATCACTTCAGTAGGCGCATTGGACATGGAGGAATTCCTCTTCTAAACCATATCACCCCCCTTCTTCCATCCTTGGATGACCACCGGTTGAAAGTTTACTTCATCGTTGAACGGTTCAATTCATTCAAACATAATCCAATCTCCGAGCCAGAGTTATTGATAGCTCAGGCCCTAGACCACCTCAAACACTTTGATGACCCTGAAATTGAATGTATATCCTTTGCTACTCTTTATACAATACACACTGACATTTCTCAGCCAGGTTACATAACAGCATAGGATTCTACTATTGTGAACACAACCATGGCATGTCTAAGGCAAATGAACATTGTCAGATTGCTCTCTTGTTGGCACAGGCCAATGGAGACTACAAGAGCCAATGTGAGGCACTTGAGATTCTTGCATTTGTTAAATGGCTTTATGGTAATTATACTGCCGGTCAAGCCTATGCACAGGAGGGGCAGAAGCTGGCTAAGATTTCTGGAGACTTCCACAGAGAGGCCCGTGGACTTCATTTTGAGATCATGTGCTTGAAGGCCCTGGGTCATTACAGACACTGCATCTCCCTGTCCATGAGGGCTAGAACACTTCTTTATCAATGTGGTATGTCTCACGGAGATGTCAACTATGCTCTTGTGAGTCTTCAGGCAGCAGTTCACAAGTCCAAATCAGAATATGCTGAGGCACGCAATATCCAAAATCAAATTCTTCAGGAGCTACTGGCTGCACACGATATTTATAATCAAGCACTTGCCCTATTAAACATTGCTGGTATTGAGATCTTCATGGGAGTCTCAAAGAATCTTATCCAAGAAAAAATTGATGCATCACAAGCTATTGTCAAAGTCATGGAGAATGCAAGATTAATTGCTGTATGTAACATTACTCAGGCAAATCTCAACCTCAGAGAAGGTGACACGTCAAGTGTGTTGCTCCATAAATGCCTCAATTCTGGGTGGGGAAACTTCTCAGTAGAAGTGAGCCACTGTCTTGAGCTACTTGGGGACCACAGTCACTGGGAGGGCTCACATCCTTCTTCATGGACAATAGTTTTTCTTGCAC